TGTCATAAATAAAAATGTATTATGTTTATGTTGATGAACTAGAGATCCAAAATCCACTCGTTAGAAGACTAAAAAAAGCCCATGGGGGGGATATATCCCCCATCATCCCCCCCTGCGCACGCCACTGTGAGGCACAGTTAAATTGTCAGACCAACCACCCACTCCACCCATCACAAAAAACATTAAAACATTTTTTTAAGATAAAATATATTTATTCATTTAAATAATAATGCTTTTTTATAACACATTAGATGATCTTTGAGGACACCCACCACCCCTCAAACTGAGTCACGTGCCTCAAATATAGTCCTTCGTCACGCCACTGGGTACTTCATAATATACGTAGTATTTATGATTATTATCTGTAGGTTACATAATCAAGCTCAATGCTCAAAACAATTATTTTGATTAATAGTCATCTACTCATATTATGCTACTTGAATTTCTACATGATGTCATGTCAGGCCGAGTGGCCGTGCACATCTTATTGTTCTGCGGTAGGTGTAATTCAGAAATTGATTGCCGAATTAACATTTAACACGAATAAGTACCTAAAAGTTCACAATAATATAGATATAACATATAAATTTGTTTTATGTACAGTAAAACCTCTCTATAACGGACCTTCTATTAAATGGAACCCTTATAAGTTATAACGGAAAATGTCAATAGTACCGGTATACAAATAATATATTATGTAATTTCTACCTCTCTATGACGGAAAACTCTTTACAACGGAAAAATTTTTGGTCCCATGCGATTCCGTTATAGAGAGATTTTACTGTATAATTATTGTTTTATTATTTGTTTGAATATCAAATTTCTATAAAAGAGAATAATTGTAACAATTTTTTTATATTTAAAGAATGCTGTAGTAAGACCAACTAATAAAAACATTATTATTTTTTAATTCAACATAACATTTTTTTTCAATATTTATGTGATAATAACTAAAAAAAAATCTACTAAGATCTTTAAAAAAATTGATTAGCCCTCCTTCTTAGAATTTAGTATCAGATATATCATATATAACATAAAATTAAATCAAAGGAAAGATTTTATGTTTTTTTTGAAATCATCGTGCATTTTCAATTTTGATCTATTAAAAGTACTAACTATAGATTCATGTACCATGTTCTCCTTACCAGAAAAAAGACGAAAGTTGAAAATTAAAGCATCATTATTTTAACTACTTATCGTGTACCCATACATACAAATAAAATTTTAAAAAAATCGTTATAAAATCAATACATTCATCGCTGCGCTCAGAATCTAAAATGTATGGGGTACTATTAGGTGGGCAGAGTAGTTGCTAATCGATAAAGCATCGTAGTCCCTAGATACTGGTGAAGTGCAACCCCTCATCAGTTACATGACTGGATGTGTGAACTGTGAAGCCGTGAATGCGTCATATCATTGGGTCATGAAAATGGGGATATAATTGAAGGAAAGAAGGAATATATACTGTATTAGATTAGATGTTACATATTACATACAAGTTTTAAAAGTTAAAGTTTTTAAATAATATTTGTGGTAAATACAAATTCAATTATTTCGGTGTTTAATTTTCGTCGAGCGCTTCTGTTATGGTGGATGGCATTATTTTGAGGTCGATGCGAGTTGGAGAATATGGTGAGCACTCCTCCACTGTGTGTTTGATGGTAAATGCAGTGTGCTAAGATTCGCATAATGGTCAGGGTTATTTACTCATTTACTAATTTATTGAGTGGGTGAGAAAAGCGTGTCCGATTCTGATTTAAAAAAAATATTTTTGAGTTTGTTAGACGATGGTATTGAGTTCCGGTAATTTTTCCAAGATGAGAGAATTTTTTGATTGAAATAATTTTTAATGTGTGATGATGATTGTGGGTATGTTGTTTGTTGTAGGGTTTGGGATGGTTAAATGGTTTTCGTTACCGGGTCGGCATATTTGTCCGATTTTTCATTTCCTATAAACTAATGTGAGATAGGAGTATATGACCCATGTGAATTCAATATTTTTTTGGATTAAGGATGCTATTTTAATTTTTGACGATGTGTTTTTAAGTGTTATTAAAGTACTAAGGGAGTCGCTGGTTATTAGTATATCGCTTGGTTCTAAAGTTTTTGCAAGTGTTAGGTACTCCTTCAAAAATAACGTAGTTTTTGGCAGAAAATAAAAGTTACATTTTTTTTTTTAAATTTGAGTACACAATCAAATGATAATAATAGTAATAATAATATCCTGTATAATTTTCTTAATAGATGATTTTACCCTACGGTAGCTCATAAATCAAATGATTTTTGGTGAAAGCTCCGTTGCGCGTGAGTCTGAATGACAAAACAAATATTGCACTGGCATTCTCTTAAAGGCATTGTCAAACAGAGGGGCTGCCCGCCTTATGTTTAACAGCACCTTAAGAGGATGCTACTMGGAAATTATTGTTGTCTCTGTCTTACAAGTGTGCAACATGGCAAATTTTACGCTTAGTAGATCATGCTTAGCAGTTTAGCTCCGTAAGCTGAAAAACTAAAGTTAATTGACTTCTTATAAAATTTCAACATTTAAAATTTTAAGGTAATATTATTATCTGGGGCATCTCACGGGATTTTTATATTTTTATTTTAAAGYGAGTAATGAGTATTTTAAAATTGAACATTGTTTATACATCTTAAAATAGGTACCCATTACACGCTATAAAATTAAAATATGATAGAAAGTCCAGAAGATGCCTCAGATAATATTATAATAATCTTCCTTTCAATTTTATAAAAATTCAACTAGGTAACTTTAAAGTTTAATTTTTAAGCTTACGGGACTTAGGTGATCTGCTGAGTGTAAATTTGCTGTTATGCACCTGTAAGACTGGGACAACAGATGGCCGTGAAACATCCTCTTTACAAAACTGTTCAGTTATGTAATTATGTAGTATGTACTAATGTACTTTTTTAGTTGTAAATACATAAGACTATAAGAGGATATAATTTATTCACTTATCTTATCTTTGTAAAATTAATTAATTATATATATGTAAATTAAATGTTTTGCCATATTTATGTAGCTATGAAGCATATTATGAGTATTACTAGTACTCCATGCTATATTGCTATAAGGTTAAAATATAAAACTGATGTAATACATTAATTTTATTTAAACTGATTAAACGATAAGTGCCTACCTAAATAATATAAACTATAAATCATAAAATTATTTTCTAATCCAAGTAAATATTGTTACATGATACATTTAAATGTAGGTACAAAACCAGATAATTTTATATTTTATAATGAAGTAATGAGTTAGTGTCAATCATATATGTTATATTTTCTATTATATAATTATTAATAAGTTTGATGACCCTGTATGTCAGTAACACTGTATTGAGTTATGGTATACTTGAACATATAGTTATTATTTAAACATAATTTATATATTAATATTATCATTTAGGTAAATTATGTGATCAAAAAAGTTCAAACATTTCTGGAAAAATACATAATGCAGGATTTATTAAAAAAGTTATTAAAAAAGACTTAATCGAAACAACAAACGGTAAGTACTTTTTAAGTACGCCACCTACTGATTCAAATAATCAAATAACAAAAAAGTTTTACACATTTTGGATGATAGCCAAAGGATTTCCCAGAAAATTTGATGAGCTGTAAAAACTTGAACAAATTTATTTTAATTTGCTGTTAAACAATTATACATTTATATTGGTAAATTAGATTAATTTTAACACATTATACAATATTACAATGTTAGTAGTAAGTGAATAGAAGTATTAAGTAAGTAGATAATTACATAATTTTTAAACAAGCACACTGTTTATTTAATTYATCATAATTCATATAAAGAGTATTTGGCGTGCACAGACTAAGATAACATTTATCTTATTTGATAGCACTGAGAGAATAAGGAGTTTTTTTTAAATGTTTGACTTTAGATAAAATTAATTCTTAACTGAATGTACTAGATTAAAATGAAAAATACTTAATTTTTGTTTAAAAGATGTCTGACCAAATATCTATGCGTACATTTTCCTTTAAAAATATGTTTGCACATCCTAAGAATATGGGTTACTGAATGGTTTTATTGTAAAAATATTTATGACAAAATGTTTAGAGGAGTTTCAAATTTAGTCTTATAAGAAGCAAAACAGTCCCCCATACTCAGTTCAAACATTCCCAATCACAACTTCATCCTCTCCAAATCGTCACAAAATACATCTTTATCGTCTTTTTAACATACCCCTCAATATTGCATTATTATTTTTTTATGCAATAGATTTTTTTCTACTTAAATCATATTTAATTATTGAACACTTTTCTTAAGTCTAGCAATTACAGCTGATAGTAGGTACTAGGTTTATTACTGTGGGGTTAGAGCATGTGTTTGTTTGGAGAGAATTTGTAACTAAATATCCCAATTGTCACCCATCAGGGATCAGCGGTCGATGCTTGCACACATAATCAATTTTGTGATTAGATAAAACTATACTGCACCAATCCAGGCCACTGTTTAATGCTTTAATGTTTGCACACTTGAATGTTCTTAATTTATGTTATCTACCCTAAATGAATACAATTTTAAACAAATAATCTGAATAAGTTATTTATTTTTTTCATCAATCATAAAGAATATTAATCAAAAACACAATAAGTTTGAAAATCTAATACTTAAAAATATTTATTGCTTAGTGAAATAATTGATTAACATTAACTACTTAGGCTATATTTAACTATCTGACTGGGAACTACAATGTCCAGTATCACTACACCCAAACTTTTCATTCCATGTTACATAATGATTTAAATCTTCAGAAGATACACTGGGCATGACAATCTTTAATGCAGATAGAAAATCTTGTAAATTAATTGGCCGTACCTATAAATAAACAAAAGAATGACTACTGAGTTCAAAATCTGATGTAGATAAATTTACTTGGTCGGCTTCAATTTTATTAATCATATCAAAACTCATTGATCTGATAGGTCCAAGAGATGCTTCTTGGCATAGACTTTTCATATCTGCTCCAGAATAGCCATTGCTGAGAGAGGCAATTTTTTCTAAATCATCATCGGATAGAACATGGTTTTCTGAATCCACTAACTTTTTAATCATATCTTTTCTAGCCTTTAATAAAATTAAGTATAATTCAAGTATTATTATTTTTTCAATATTTATATAAATTACTTGTGAGTCAGGCAATCTAATGTAAAGTTTTTTTACAAGCCTTCTTCTGGCTGCTTCATCTAATTCTTGGGGTCTATTTGTAGCACCAATAATTAATATTCTATCATCATCATTTGTACCAGCTCCATCCTTTAGTATTTAAAACATAATAATTTAAAATTTTAAGTAAGTTGCGTGAGATAAAAATGAAACAATGTACTTGCACATAATTTGATCATATAATGGAGTAATAAGTTAATAAGTTTAATATTAACTTGTAAAAATGGGTTATGGGCATTTAAAAATGCATTAACTGTGTCTGTCTATATAATAATGTATGTGGTTGTGTCTGTATGTGTATGTTATATGGTTGTCAGTGGCGATGTGAACTTTTTTTCTTATCAAGTAATCACCTACTAATTTTTTTTCACACTTATTACTTTATTTTTAATTCATTTTAAATGCAGGCCATATATGTCACTGTATACATTTTAAACTAGTTTAGCTGTTCAGGGTCTTAAAGACTGCAATAATCGTTGGGATACCAACCCCCAAATTTTTCATGAGGCAGCCACTTCATAAAATAGCTGTTCAGACCGTTGCTGATCATTGTACACATCCTAATGTGTATGTTATAAAATCTGGACATATTTTAGACTACTCTCATTGGTAAACAATTTTATCAACACTAAACAATTATATCTTTAAAACTATTCATACAAAATACGCCTTTTAAAATTAGAAAGTAAAAAGTACTAAAAACAAAACATATGTACATACTAGTTGAATAAGAAATTCTGTTTTAATTTTTCTAGAACTTTCGTGTTCTTGTTCACTTCTTTGACATAATAATGAATCAATTTCGTCAATAAAAATGACTGCAGGCTGATGACATCTATTTATTATAAAAATAATAAATTTTAATTGCTTTTTTTCCAATATTAATTCAAAAAATATTGTAGTACCTTGCTACTGCAAAAAGAGCTCTCACAGATTTCTCTCCTTCTCCAATCCATTTAGATGTAATAGTTGATGCGCTTATACTAAAAAATGTTGAGTTTGACTGAGAAGCGATACATTTGCCTATATTACAAGCATCACCATTTTTTAAAATTATCTAAGTAAATAATAAATATCAGATAATATTTACATTACCAATCAAAGTTTTACCGGTACCAGGTGGGCCAAAAAGTAATATTCCTTTAGGTGGTCTTCGAATTCCCTTGAATATATCTGGTCTCAAAAGAGGCCAGATTACTGATTCCTTAAAAACCAGAACTTATTATTAAACAAAAATGATTGGAATAAACAATATGAAACGTGATATACTTGTATAGTATTTTTAGCAAATTGTAGTCCAGATATGTCGTCCCATGTTATTAGATTTTTACATTCAATTATTTCATTTCTAATCATTTCAACCATTTTAGGATCGATATTTTTTAAATATGGATTTTCATCAATTGTTGATTCATATTTTACTTCATCTTTTCTGTGGTGATCAAAGAAAAAAATCATGTAATAAAATATGTTGTACTGTGCCCAATATTTACGAGTATAATATCATGCCCAAGTTTTCAACAAGGCGGGAATTTTATGAATAATAAGTAATAATACATTTAAATGAATTGTAGTGGTAATATCAAAGACACGAAAAGAGATTTATGGGACAATGGTAAAGAATATAACCATTAACCTCTCTCTGGGCATGCCACTGTTAACATAACACTCAGAATAGAACATACTATTTTATTTATAAAATAAATATATATTTTATAGCCAATACTGCTATATGCTGTAAAATATGTTTTGTTAAAAAATTGTATTATAAATATTGGTAATTTACTTGTGATTATCAGTTGATGGATTGACAAATTTGCTAATTACACTGCGAGATTTATTCACACCCAAAGATTTTTTAATTAATGTTTCTGAAGTATTAGAATTAACATTGTTTTGTTTTTTAACTTGAATATGCTGAAAATTAAAAATGATTCAAATTTAACTATTATATAGTATATACATATAGGTATTTCAATAAAAAATGTTATGTTTCAACTTGCCAATTCTGTTTTTGCAGTATGAAAGCCATTAAATTGAGATTGGTTGCTATAAGTTTCTTCACGTTTATTTTTTAAGCTAAGCTTTGGAGGTGAATCTTCATCATATTTACTAAAAATATWAATATTAATTTTGATAAAATGTCCAAATAATCTCTATAAACCCAATATACAAATGTATATTAATTTCATAAAAATACCTTCTTTTTCTATTATTAATAGGCTGAAATGTAGTAGGTGGTGTTTTAATAAATGTTTTATGATTGTCAATTCGAGTTGAGTGGGTAGCTGAAAAAATATTACATTTAATAATTACCAGATAATTTCAGTGTAGCAAGTCTTATAAGTTATAAGCTATAATAAAATAATTCATTTAGCTAAAAAGTATAATGTAATGAAAGATTATTACGTGAATTATTTCTAAATGAATTTGTATGATTAATTTGTTTATTAGAAATATTTGCATTTTTAATATCATTGTTATTTTTTGGAAAACTCAAGTAAAATTCTTTGCCTGGTTCAATCTTACAGTTTTTGAGATCTGGACATTTAATAGATTTTTTAAAATCATTTACAGGTTCTGTAACATCAAACTTGGTTTTCATCTTCCAGTTTCTTACATCTATATAAACATTAATGAAACTTTTAAACCATTTGGAACAAAATCACGTCTGTTACCATAATTTTTTTGAAGCTCACATATTTTAATATACAATATTACAAAAAAAAAAAAAAATTAAAAAAAATACTTTAGATTACCTATGAACATAATATATACATTCATGTAAAAACAAAAAAAAATATGAGCTACCTACCAAATTGAATTTATGCTAGTAATTGTCACATTGAAAGTAAAATATTTAAAAATTTTATAAAAATTAAAAAGAAAAAAACTATATTATATAGAATTTATAGCTTATATAAGTACATACTGTTAGTTCCTAATGTTAACTCATCAATAGCTGATATAAAATTGTTGACACCTTTTTTATTGTCAATAAGATTTGAGTAAGATTTTAATTCAGATCTCATGTGGCTCCATATCCAATCAGTTTCTTTCCTTAATAATAAAAGTATATTTACGTATACAAAATTACAACTTCACATAATTAGAAATGTACATCATTGGTTAAAACATTGAACTGATTACTATTTAATAAACTTAACTAATGTAAATATTAAATAAATAGGTATACACATTTATCATAGCACTTACAAAGAGTTGGCCAAGGAATATGCCTGGTACAAGCATTTTCTTTTTGACTTGGCAGTTTTCAAATCATCGTTAAGGTCTTCATCAAATTTACTGAGCAAATAAACATCTCTAAATTTATCCTCGATATCGTTTACAACGTAGGACATGACGTTTCACAAAAAAATGTAATAAAATACCAGTAAGCGGAAAATTGTATGTTTTAATGGCTCGTCCAGCGAATGGAAATTCAGAATTCCAAAAAAAATCGTGGAAATCAAACAATGAGTAATCAAAAAATTTTTTTTTTGATTGTTAATTGATATTATACCCTATCACCTCTGAGGCTATTAAACAATAATCACAGTTTGCATATTTTAATATTAATATCATACTATAGTATAAAGTACAACTGCCATCGGTCATATGATTATAAGATACACATATTGAAGTATCTAAAGCCGTGATGAAACTAAGATCTGAAAACTAAAAAAGAACAACTCAATCTTAAAGAGTATAGACTAATATAGTCAATAATCATTGAAGATATATTAATTTAGTACGACTATAATACTAATAGTTAATACCTATCTGACATATTCTGTTAGTTATTCATTATCAGCTATCTTACTTTGTCAATTGTCATTATTATTTTCTTCAGGGCACAGAGTGCAGACTACAGACAGATTTTTGGCGGGAAATTCATATTATTATTATTATTATCAAAAATGATTCCGCTGCTGCCGGATCCGTTGAGTTGGCAGCGACGGTCGGGCGGCCTCAGCGGTGCCAATCGACCGACGAAATGCGTGGGTACATATTTCTATTTTCAATTTCCATTGTTCCACCAACGACACGAAGCGCGTCGCTGCGACAGTGTTGTTATTATTGCTGTCGTCCGTGGTTGCCGACGACGTCTGACTTATTCTGCAGTCTACACTACCGTCTACTACGGCATACCAGTGTACCACTCTTCTACTACCGTCCATCGCCTCCGMCTCTATACAATACAACTACTACTGTCTACTACTACTACTTCGGTGTTGTCTGTTCAACAGATTCTGTTGTGTAATCCTCGTGTGGGACTGTGGAAGTGTGCGCGTGTAGTACAAGGAGGAATACYATAATAATAATWATTAATTAATATAATAATCGCACGCGATACGCCGTGCGCTTCGGACACTGCGGTTATCATCGAGGAATTAACTTCTGTCAGGCGAACTGCAAGGAGAAGAAGGTGGACGACGACGACGACCAGAACGAGAACGACGGAAGCCGCGGCCACTGCCACCCTACCGGAGGAGCAGCTCTACTCGAAAATATACTGTGCCCACTCGCCAAGATGGCTGACAACTGCTGCGTTTCTCAAAATGACAATTTCATTTGTGGTGTTGTTGAAGGTACGTTTCTTTCAATATTTTTTTCCATACTTGACAACTCTACTGATCGCCTCCATCGTCATTACGTCTTGTCATTATTATCTAACAACACTTACACCATTGTCTAGATACCGGTACCCCGGTGTAGCTATTGTAATATCGTCTCTATATTAGATTAATAATTGGTATTACGTCGTCGTGTACTCGACTTTTACCACTGTGTGTATTGTATGTGTGTGTGTGTGTACGCGCGTTTGAATGAATGAATGTATGATGAGTGCGGTGTGTGGGTGTGCCTATAATATTATAGGATACCGACCGATACTGCAAACCCATGTCATCGATACTCACGATTGACAACTATTAACAATTACAATATTGTACGAGTCTATCTGAAGACGCGAGCCCCTGCACCCCTTTCCCCACCACCAGGTTTTGATCGCCCGGTTCGTGGTTGCTTTTCGATAGCCTACAATATTGATTTCTGTGAGACGTCGAGACGTGCATTATTGGAATAGGAGTACCTATATAGTACTAGATACATATTGTACGTTTGACCKGAAAAATGGTCGTGTTATTGTTATTTTGATCAGCGTTTAGCGTTTTATTTTTGTAGCGTGTTTGCGAGATCGCGAAAAAAAAATTCATTCAACCGATAAATAATTTCACAGACAGTCAATTGTATCGTGATTTAGTGAATGTTTACTGTTTTCTTATTGGCTTTCACATTAAATGTGTTTTTTTTTTCATGAAAATGGAATTTTATTAACATTTTCATAGCATATATAGGTATCTAACCTATAAAAGTTGTAACCCAATATGACCACATTCAAGTTCTATTAATTTATACAACTGAGTAAACATTTAACTCACAAAGACACAAACTGACAAATTTGGCTTTATGTTCAAATGTACTACATACTTATAATTTTATGCACTGAACAAAAAGCTTTAAACAATTACGTCAATGATTAATCACTAAGTTATCATTTTTTAAGTTTGAAATTATCATATTATATATATTTTATGTAAATGTTGTTTAAATCATTGAAATATTATTTAGGTATTTAATTTAATTATTTTTATTCTTATTTAAAATCTAGTGCTATTCTAACATTATGCAAAACAATAAGGTTACCACTACTACATTTGTTACAAAACTACCTGACCAGGCGACATTTAAAAAAATTGTCATCATCATTACATGGGTACCTACTACAGTTTTCATAAGGTTTTGCTCTATTGTCGTTTTTACATAACCTTATCAAACTGCCTATATAGTCACTGTGAGGTTAATTGTTTGCTCACAGTTTAAATAGTGTTTTGATTTGTTATTCAAAACCAACCACTTTGGGTGGGTATTTAGGTTAAAACCTAAATACCCACCCAAAGTGGTTGGTTTAAAACATAAATAATGTTTAACCTACTCGGTACATTATTGACAACAGTATAGTTATCACTGCGAAAGCAAGACATTTTTGTTTAATGCATTGCCCGCTCTAATTATACTTTCCTTTCAATTTTTTTTTCATTATTTTAGACTTAGTCTGATTTAAAAATTATTTTTATCCTTAGATATTCTCTATTATATTTCATTTTAGTTAATTTAAATACATTATTTACCAAGAGATTTATTGTAATGTTCCTATACCTAAGCCTTTAAGTATGTTAATTTGATAAAAAATATATGTGTAATGTGCATTCATGTCTGTTCTACAACCAATAACTTTTACTTTATTCTGAACCCAAAATAAATCTTTTTTTATGGGTACCTCAACAMAAAAAATTTAAAAACTATACATAGGTARGTATCACAAAAATTTTCTATTTTAATTTTCAATAAAAATGTGTTGTTAAAGTAAAATCTATTTTAAAATTTAAATTGATAAACCTAAGAAATTTTATTTTGTAGTTGTTTCTCATCAAGTATTTTTAAACACTATTCTGGCATAAGTACTCGCTGTCACATATGGTAATCAGTTATTTTGCTTTTGGTGCCAAAATACTAGTATTTTAGAATATTTGATTATATCTCAGATTATATAATACAGAATTTTCCATCCACATATAATTTTAAATTGATCTAAATGATAATTAATATTTTTTATTAATTATTAATCAATGTTATATATTTTATGTTTAACCTTGAACTGAGGGAGGCTGTTTTCATATTGCTCCCCATATAGTAGAAATGATGTGATAACCTACAATAAGAATGTATTCGATTAACATGAGATAATATTTTAATATCCTAGTAGGCCAGGACCTAGATAATTGTTGTCYTTTAATTGTGTATATGATTTAATAGCTTTAATATATAAGTAAATAAGACCAATCAAGTATCTACCTATTTAAAAACAATTAACATTTTAATTTATTAATATTTGTTTTAGGATTTTATGGAAGGCCATGGACTACAGAACAACGTAAAGACTTGTTTCAAAAGTGAGTAGTTTTCCAAGCTGTTTTGTTATAATTCGCTTTGCAAGCTAATTGTGTTTACCTTTATCTTATCTAGTATAAGTAGGTCTACCATAACTCCCTTTTTCATTAGAAATATATACATTTATAAAATTAAGTGATAATTTAGAATAACACCTCTTCAAAACGCTTTTGAAAAACTATAAATTTTAATTTAAATCCTTATGGACAAACAAATCACTAAACTAGTGTCCTTTTAATTGTTCCTTGGATTTATTGTGAATTTATTTAGTTAGATACTTATTTATTTAAGTTGCATTAATTTGTATTATTAAGAAATTATATTTGTATATTATACAATCTTTTAAGACTTTGATTTATAAGACAAAAATGGCTGTAGTTAACATGAATAGTTTAATGAATGGTAAAGACTCACGGTGGCTGCAACTGGAAGTATGTCGCGAATTCCAACGTAATAAATGTTCACGTAGCGATACAGAATGTAAATTTGCTCATCCAGCTGCTAATGTGGATGTCCAGAATGGCAAAGTAACTGCTTGTTATGATAGCATTAAAGGAAGGTGYAATAGAACAAAACCTCCTTGCAAATATTTTCACCCTCCACAACATTTAAAAGATCAACTTTTAATAAATGGACGAAATCATTTGGCTCTCAAAAATGCCTTAGTACAGCAAATGGGTTTAGTGGCTAATCAACCAATGGTTCCTGGACAAGTTTCTGCTCCTTTACCAAATCCAGCTTACTTAGCTCAGCTACCCAGTACTCAAATTGGAAATGCATTTAACCCATATTTTAGCCATACAAATCCACTCATGAATCCTTTGTCACAATTTTTTGCTCCTAGCCCTAACAACTTGACAATGGCGATGCAACAAACAGTTGTACAACAAAACTTACAACCACCAGAACGCTTAGATATGGACTTGAGTAAAATTTCCCCTTTCTACTATGAGAATTTATCATTGCCTGGTTTAATGCCTTTTAAAAGGCCTTCGGGTGATAAAGCAGGGTTACCAATGTTTCAACCAAGTGCAGCTGCAGCAGCTTACCAACAACTATTTCAATTTGTTCCACAACAATCTGACTATCCCCCTACATCATCTGCAGCAGCTTTATCTGTAATGCCTAAACCACAATCACAAGCAGTAGCGCAACAACAACAACAACAACAACAACAGCAAACTCAACAGTCAATAGCCCCTCAAAAATCTCAGACTCCTGAATTACCTGCTACTCAAACTCAATTACAGTCCCAAGCCCAACAACTTGCTGCATTTCATCAATTGCTTGCTATGTCTCCTCAACAACAACTACAGCAACAGCAAATACAACAACAACAATTACAACAGCAATCGTTACAACAGCAACACCAGTCTTTACAGCAGCAACATCAGCAACAACAAGCTCAATTGGCTCAAGCTCAAAATCAAGCTCAAGCTCATTTAGTCCAATCACAGGCCCAAGTACAGAATCAATTACAGGATCCTAACCAACAAGCTCAGATGCAACAACATCAAGCATTTGCAGCAGTATTCAACCAATTGATTGCTATGCGCCCACCACCTCCACCATTAGCTTTCCAAGCTCCACAATTAGCGCCTAATCCAAATTTGATGACAACACCATCTATGAAACAATTCATTGCAGCACAAATACAACATCACATACACAATACCAATTTAAGCGGTAATCTAAACCCAGCTGCTATTAATGGTAATATTAATACTAAGGGTGACGAAGAAGTTCAACAACCTTTTAAGAAAATGAAAACCGCTTGACAATTTTGGATGTTTCATTATTAATAATTTTTTTAATTATTTTATAGAATCATGACATTTGCTTATTTAAGGTCAGATTATTGTACCAAGATAAATGTTCTAATTTTTATGGAACAACAATTTTTTCCCAATAAGCCTGTTAATCAGGTAAAATATTCTATTTTAAGTATATTAATCATTATTTTTTTGAGTTATATTAATATTAAGTTATCTTACTTATGCCATAATTAGACTATTTGTGTTTTTAACATTTTATTATTAAATTATACTTATTTTTATTCTATTGCGCTTGAACTTTAATCTACTCGCTTATAACCAGTTATTGCAATATTTAACCTACCTATATTATTGTTTAATCATTACTATATTATTGTAATTCATAATTTTATTTAAACTATTGTATCGTATAGTTCCTTGTGTAAGTGCTTTCAAGCAACAATATTTTTAAAAAATTAACTGCATTTTAATCCGTTAATAATTAGTTTAGTGATTTGAGTCCATTATTGTTTTTACATGCATTTGAATTTAGCAATTAAATGTTTGTGTAATTAAGTGATTATGTTAAAATCAATTTTGTAAACTGTAAATCAAATATTATTTTTTGAATATGTAGGACATTTATGTTCTAATTAATTTTTTACAAATGTTATAAACAATAGATATTAACAATCTATTTTTAATTAAAATTACTAAAAGTATGTTTTTATGTCTTTTATAAACTGTTATAGATTTTGAACTATAATACTGTGTAATTTAAGAATTTTTGAATTGTGATAAAATAGGTATTGCCTTATTCAATGTTATATTTAGATTTATATCATCTACCTCTTTTTTTTTTTTCTCACTAAATAATGTCATTCCAAATTCCAATCCTAATGTAATCTATAGCAAGAATAATGTTTCTAATATATTTTTCATACTTATTGTGCATGTGCAATAAATAAAACACTGCTCTGCCAATATAATGCCCACCAAGCTTCCTTTTTTCATGGAAACCTTGTGTTTTTATATATATATATATATACATTAAATACATTTATTTATTTAAACATACTAACTAAACTGTAATATGAACACTGAAAATTTGGGATTGGAGTTAAGCTTGTGTGGAAATATATTAGTTTAAATAGTATTTACTGTTAAAAAAAGGCTATAAAGCTTTTACTAGCCATTATTTATCTTGGTTATTGGCTATTTTCAAATAAATAAAATATTTATTTAGGCCTACATGTATGTTGCAAATACTTATGGTAGAATTAAGGCTATTTTTCTATAGTAAAATGCTTAAAAGAAACATTGTGAATAAAGTAGCTTGTACTTAATAAAGGTGGCATACCTAAGCTAGTCTTATTTTTATTTTTTTATCATCGTGTGTACCTACCCTTGCACTGGCTTCAACTATCTGTTTTTAGCAAAACTCATACATGAACAAACATATAGCTTCTTTTATTGGTTGTCTCCATAACAAGGGTTGAAGTGTCAATGTTTTGCTACAAGCAGCCTACAACTACCATTATCATTTGCAATGCCTGTCATCTTCGTTTGTTTTAAGCGGACAACCTCTTGTTTGGATTGCTAGGTAGCAATATCTTCAAAAAAATAGAAAAAAAATTTGGAAAAAAAAATTCAAAAATAAGAGGTCGTTTACTACTACTACTACTACTACTACTACTACCCAGCACTTGAGCTATGTTTTGTAAATTGTTTTTGAAATATTAGGCTTTTGAGTTCAAATGACTTGTTTTTATTTGTTTAGTGGTAAGTTGAAATATTGAATTAGTTAATTACATTTATCCTGATTTCATTATTTAGGCAGTGTTAAAATGCAATCATTTGTTTGTAGATATAGCACTGTAAAGAACTATCAACATTCTCTTGTAAGCCTAACTTTTTAGGTAAATTTTAAATTTCAATTTATTTCGATTTGCTTTATCATTAGACTTAGACATTTTTATTTTGTTTTGTTTGCTAATTGAAATGTTTAAAGTTTATTAAATTGTTAAATACCTAATACTGGTTTTTTTTTCATCAAATAATTAAAACAAAAATATTCAAATTAATTTTAATCTGATTACTCTATACTTATAAAATAAGAGTTCAATTAAAATCATGAATATAGTTTTACCATTCAAATTAACAATTGTTTTTATACTAATTAACACACTTAAAAAAAAAAAATTAGAACCTTGGCATATCAAAGTTCAAATAATGATAGAATAAAAATAAATTTGCAGATACCATTGGTTTTGAGTAGTAATAAGTTATTATTTAAATGTATGACTTCAGAAACTGAAAATACCAGTAAATGTTTTTTTAATTCTGAAAAAAGTGCTTCTAGTGATTGGCACTTATTGCTTTACTACTCAGTGCTTTCACTCCATTCTTATATTGAGAACAACCCTCAGTTGTTATGTTTAATCACTGTGGATAGGTTACAGGGTATTTTTACAACAATTTTTATGAGGCCGTAACATGTAATCACCACCGCTTATATAGTAGTAGTACTTACCGATCGGCCATGCATAATACTTACATTGCATACTTTAAATAAATATAAATTAAAAATGATTAATTTTTGCACAACTATTCATGCATTTTATTACTCTCTAAAAAATAGCATTTTAAAATTTAGAAAAATTCACACGTATTACGCCAAACCTTCAACCAATTTCAATTTTTAAATAAAAATTGATTATAGATATTTAAAAATTTTTTGTCCTAGATATATACATATTTATTTTCGTGGTCAATTAAATTTTATGTTTGACAATTTTTATCTTATAATTTACCTTTGAGGACATGCATATTTAGATTTAACAATTAGCTACCACTTAACCTGCTTATTCTCAAGAAAAATATTTAACCAAGTATGCATGTATACAATAATACAGATTCCCATAGTATGTTATAATTCAAATTTACAAGAATGATTAYATGATGACCATGAAAATAGCTTAATGTATAATTTCTACTCTTAAATTATATTTTATGTTTTTTTTTAACCTTTCCTAGGTATATAAATTTGACAAATGTTATATTATCTTACTCTTTTGCATGAATACATAAGAATTAATAAAAGGTGAAATAGATATCTATATTCATTTTATATTGTTTATACTATTATGAGTTATGACTTATGAATCATTTGCCAAGTATAAATGATTTTAATTTATTAGTAGATACTGTTGAAAGCTATACTGGTGGCCCTAGACATGTTACAATGGATTGTTCTTCACACTGCAGTCTAGTGATTAACAGCAGCATTTTAAAAAACTAGGTCAATTGTTGTGGTAAAAAATATTTGAATAATTTATTATTTGGTATTATGTTTGACTATATTTTTATTAATGTATGTCATAATATAATCTTTAAGTAGTTATTTAATMTGTTTAATTGAAAATGAAAAAAGCAACTATACTTATAATAATTCGTACTCTTATATATGAGGTACTCATTGAGGGTTTTTTTTGTGTTTAATAATCTTCTATAAGATAACATTTTATATCAAAACTAAGTGACTTAATATCAAATAAGATATTAAATAAATTTTTTTTATAATTAAAAAAAAAGTTGTGGTATTCAAAATAATGCTGTCAATTTAAAAAATAATATGTTTGTTTGATAACCATTTGTGTCAAGTATAAATCGTAATCTTATTTAACAATATTAATAGAAAATAATTAAGTCAATGATCATACTTTAAGTATGACTGAAAATATAAATAAATATTAGATAAAGAGAAGTATCAGATAATCAATTTATAATTGATTAAAAGTATATGGGAATGGATTAATGTAAACCTGCATAAATAACAATTATTAATTAAACATTTTCATATACATGTGTGTGTTGTGTGTATTATAACAGCTTGGTTGAAACCAAGTTCTAAAAAATGAAAACTACTTTTTTTGAACGCATGAAAACAATGTTGATTTAGTTCAGGTAGTTTATTATATTTGGTACTAAGTATATTGAAACTACCATTAATGAATTATTTATCATCGCTGCTCTCACTCTTCATTAGAATATATGTACAAACAATATGTTTGTGTTATATTTTTACATTGAAAAGTATAATCAATGTAAGAACAAAAACAAAACAAATAATAACAGATTGTATGCAAAGAATGATTCACAAACTTATTGCGTTTTGTTAATAGATTTATGTATTCAGTAAAAATAAATTGAAGTACAAAATAATTATAAACACTCTTATTTTAGCTTAATAAACTTGGTAAAAACTTGTGCATACAGTCTTAACTCAATGGTTTATGTTATTTTGTGTCTTATTAGCTGAGCATGTTATTCTGGAGTAAAACTGAAAAATTCACCCAAGTAATATATATGGCTTTGGCCCGTTTGTGCTACAAATAAATGTATATTATCAAACCCAGGCTGCTGTTACAATACTTGAGAATGGATTCAAATTCTAACCTGTCACCTCTCACTCGCATCTGCCTCTATTTCACCCCAGTCTCCAAACCCTTTGCACCGATTTCAGCCTGAAATTCTGCAATGTTTTCAATACTATGTGTACTATATAATACATGCTATGGTGATTGTTATTTACCGGTTACTATGCTGTTTTCTGGTCGCTAATGGTGGATTAAAAATAAATTAAATTTAATATATAATGCCTCGCATTTACGAAACGCTATACCTGTGCATTTTTTTTTGCCGTAATTTTGTGACAATTGCAATTAAAAAGTGTTTCATAGTGAAAAAATATACAAGTGTGTCGCAGACGAACAGTCAACAGGCAGCTATGTTATGATTTCACATCATTTTGATAGTAGACTCATGCTGTGCTTAGTTTATAATTTTGTTTTCTTTTTTTTATGTATTTTTTTCATACATTTAATCACCACCTAAATTAACAGTAGCAGAAAAATAATTGGTGCAGATACAAAAATAAACAAATGTTGGGTTGTATTCATTTTATTTAATATGCTTATTTTATATTGCTGTGTTTATATGCTTATTCATTTAAAATAATTAAATACGTTCAAAGCTTAAATTTAAATTTTTTATTTATATTTTAATATTATTTATGTAGTTTTTCTATATCAAAATTTTCTTTTAGGTTAAAAAAATGGGGAGTAGGTTGTTATGTTTATGCGCCCAAAGATGATTACAAGCACAGGGCTTATTGGAGAGATTTGTATACAGTTGAAGAAGCCGAACAGTTGGGTGGCCTAATTAGTGCCGCTAGAGATTGTGGTGTTACTCTTTATTATGCCTTGTCTCCAGGACTTGACATGACTTATAGTAGCCAAAAAGAAATAGYAACTCTCAAACGAAAATTAGATCAAGTTGCTCAATGTGGTTGCAAAGCTTTTGCTTTATTGTTTGATGACATAGAACCAGATATGTCACCAGCTGATAAGGAAGTATTTCAATCATTTGCACATGCTCAGGTAATTAAGAAAATTTTTTTTATGTATTTCTCTAGTTGTGAATTAAAATTTTTTAATTTTTAGGTGTCAATTACTAATGAAATATTTCAGCATCTGGGTCAACCTAAATTTTTAGTTTGCCCAACTCAATATTGCTCAGCACGTGCTGTACCGAATGTTCAAAATTCTGATTATTTAAATACCTTGGGCTCTAAGTTGGCACCTCAAATTGACATTATGTGGACCGGTTAGCTTCTGTAAATTGAATCAAAAGTTCAAAATTAAAAWAGTTATATAACTCCTTTGACTTATTTGCTTATATTTATTTCAGGACAAAAAGTTATATCACGTTCATTAACTACTGAATCTATTAGAGAAATCACTGAAGTACTGAGGCGACCTCCTGTTATATGGGACAATTTACATGCTAATGACTATGATCAAAAGCGTGTCTTCTTGGGACCATATCAGGGACGTTCACCTGACTTGATTTCACAATTAAGAGGAGTTTTGACTAATCCAAACTGTGAATATGGTGCTAACTTTGTAGCTATTCATACATTAGCTCAGTGGAGCAAATGTACTTCTGATCCTCCATCAATCACACATGACAGTAAGTACAAAGTAACATTAATACAAGTTCTTATTAATTTTTGGGCAATGAATTTAAAAAAATACTCAAGTATATTTAATTTTAGTTATAAGTTAAAGATAACTAATATTTTCATTTATTACTTAGTATTAAAGGTAACCAAAGAATTGAGTATTTCATAAATCTAATATTTATTGTTATAATTATCTTTGGTATAGAAATTTTTATGAGTTGTTAATATAATATCTACAGTCATAACATAATGATTGTGTTTAACTATTCATATACAGTATTCAATAAGAAATTAACTTAAAATATATTATCCTTTCACAATTAACAAGTATTGGCATCAAACTATTTATGATATTGTGTTTGATTTATAAAAGTTAAAAATAAGATAAATTTGCTTTAACTATTTTGTATAAAATGAAACCAAAGAATTGAGTATTTCTTAATTTTAATATTTAATGTAATAATTATCTTTGGTAGAGTAATTTGTATGAATTGTTAATCTAATATCTACTTGTCATAATATAATGATTGTGTTTAACTATTCATATATAGTTTTCAATAAGTATTCACCATAAAATGTGTKYCAGTTAGTGCATAGTTTTTAGTTTGTTGGTATTCCGTTATTTATACATTTTAAAGAAATGGAAAAAGGATGGGATGAGAGCTTAAATTTTGATACAATATTTTTATTTTTAAACAACTATTTTAGAATACTATTAAATATTGTATTAGTTCCAAATTATTTAACATTAAGTATATGTATACTATCTAATAATACTTGTATAAAAAAAGCATCATTATAATGGTTAGCTAAAACTTAATTGACTAGTCGGGGGCCACTGTTCCATAAGTTTACTATTGATTCATTTATCATTAAATATTTAGTGATRTTTTTGTTTTATACAGCTCAGTATCAATACATTTGAAAAGATCTGAAATATAGTATAGAATAGTATATTAAAAATATATACAGGGTGTCCCACAGAGATCTGACAAATGAAATAACTTTTGTTCTAATCAATATTTTAAAAAAATGTCTTTTAAATATAATTCATAGACACTTGCGCTACATTTTTTATTTTTTATTTTTTAATACTGAAAATAAAAAACTTAAAAATTGATAAAATTTTTTTCAAAATATTCAATATAGCCAATTTGTAAATCTGATTTTTAGAAAAATTTATATGGTAAAAACACTTATTTAAGTAAAATTGCTGATTTTTTACAATTTTTTTAAATATCAATATTTTCGTTAAGTAAATTATAGTTATTATAGTAATTTATAGTTTATACATCACATATTATTAAAATAAATGCAATAAAAAAAATAATTATATTTTAACATGCACCCATTAAAAATTGTCTTATAAAATATTTTTAAAAAACTTTATATTATTTGAAATTAAAATGTTTCTAATATAAACTAGATCATAATTTACTTAACAAAAATATTGATGTTTAAAAATATTGTAAAAAATCAGCCATTTGACTTAAATAAGTGATTTACCATATACATTTTTCTAAAAATCAGATTTACAAATTGGCTAAATTGAATATTTCCAAAAAATTTTTTATCAATTTTTAAGTTTTTTTATTTTCAGTATTAAAAAATGTAGCGCAAGTGTCTATGGATTATATTTAAAAGAAAATTTTTAAAAATATTGATTAGAACAAAAGTTATTTGTCAGATCTCTTTGGGACACCCTGTATATATTAAATTGGATAATGATTGAACRTCTTTTCAGGAAAATAAACTTAACTATATTACACATTTACATTTTATTTTAATTTTTTAGATGAGAGTATGAAATTAGAGACTGAGAGTGATGAAGAAGGTATTATCGATCTTCCAGAAAATATTTACCATTCAAGAAGAGCATTACGTATTGCTATCAAAGAATGGATTCCAGAATTTCGCAGACAGAAACAAGCTCATGGTCCCATTATCAAACCACAACCTACCATATCGATCATGTCTCCTGTGGCTATTCCTCTTGCATCATTTAACACATGTATGGCAACCTCAACTACTACCATCACAACTTCTACATCTACTGCTCCATTGTCTTTGTCTACAACTAATAATGTTGAGTCAATTTCATCGACCACTGTGAATGGCAGCCCTACAAATGTTTTACAAACTGCTGTAGCTGTTACTATGAATCCACCCTTAGTGATAATGAATTCTTTGGTATCTGAAAGCAAAGTCATAAGCGAGCCTATGGATTGTAACATGTCACCAGCACCATCACCACAGAGTTCAGATACAGCCATGAACACTGATAATGGATCAGTATGTATATTTTGTTTAAAATTGCCTAGTGTTTTTTTTTTTATTTAAACAGAGTTTTAATTGTTCTAGAGTGTTTCAATGCAAGTGGAAACGCCTAGCCCTAGTGCGGATATGGTTGTTGATGTGATTCAAGATCAAAAACATTCATATGAAAGGTATGATTGTGAATTAGACTGAATTGTTTGATTTATATCACAACTTTGATTGTAATTTTTTTTTGATATTAGAGATCTAACAGAAGAAGATTTATTGCTAATGTGCGATTTATTTTATTTACCATTTGAACACGGTCCTCAAAGTGTTCAATATTTAACAGAATTTAATTGGCTTAAGAGCAATGCTTATTTGGTTTCAAATGAAAATCTTAGAAAATCAAAGAAAAAAGATTCAACTGACTCTAAACCAGAAGTAAGTATATTATTTATTGAATACAACAAAAGTTAAATTATTGTTCAGTAAAAATTAATAAGTTTAATAATAATAATATTCAAATAACTCAATTACTTAGATCTGAATTCTATGTTGTATTGAAGATATCAAACTTGTTTTGAGTAGACATTTTCCTTTTTTTATTTTTCATTTGTTATATTTGACCTTGAAAACATGCTTTAAACACATTAACTTTCGAGTAATAATTGCTAGTAAATACATTATTTGCAAAATGTTACTTAACCAGTTACTACATCTTTTGAATATATCTTATTGGATTTGAATTGAGTTAACTATAAATGTAGTTAACTATATAAGTAATGTATTTGACAGTAAATAAAATGTAGTAATTGGAAAATAAAAATATATTGTGGCAACTTTATTATAATCATTCTTTCCTTAACTTTAAAGCTATTGAAAAAACTTTAAACTATGAGTTTAAGAAATTTGGGAATCATTGCTATAGAATCAAATATTTTTGATTCAAATACCACTAATTTTAGTTTTATTTGATGGTATTAGAATCACTCCAAAAACACTTCGTTATAACTCCATTTAAAAAAAAGCTAAGTTAAAAAAAAAAATGTAGTAAATGATTAAATCTTTAAAAGACGTGATATAATATGGAAACTAAGTAAAATTCCATATTATAATATTAAAAATACCTATAACTACAAATAAGATCAATGGTAATGTTAAATATATTGTTTATACATTATTAACTACAAAAAATAGAAGTGGTTACTTATTAGTTATTTGTATATATTTAAGTATACTTCTACAGTTCTACGCCCTGCCATATAATTGAACATAATGTTAACTAAGTATTTAACATTACAATTGATCTTCTTCGTCATCTTAGTTATTTGGGATATTATAAAATGGCATTTTACTTAGTTTCCATATTACATCACGTTTTTTAAAGATTTGATCATTACTAAATTCATTTATTTTTAACTAAGCTTTTTTTTACACATAGTTATGATAAAGTTATAATAATAATCCAGCTAGTATCCTTCTATTGTTATATTTTGTATTTTAGATATTTTTTTTCAAAATCTTGACTGTTAACATATTTCCCMCCATAAGACTAGCGTTCCATACTTACAGACATATTATTATATTTAATAATTGATGTGTGTCATAGATAGACCATGATTACAAATCGCAAAATTAAGAGCATAAGATTTGTCATTGAAGTTAAGAGGACGTCGCACTCGCATGTGTTGTCTCCATCTTATACACATACTACATAGTAAATTTCCAATCACTTCTTTCAATAGTGAGCTGTTAGTTTTGATATAAGAGTGAATTGATTGAAACATGATTAATCTTTTAGGTAAGACAGTATATGTGTTCTGTTGTTACTTGTTGGTGTTTTACAATATTTAAATTTTTTAATGAGTTATAAATATACAAAGTTTAAACATTTAAAAATGCACATAGTTTATTTAAAAATAAAAATATCATAAAAAGCTAAAAAGAGAATACAGATAATGTTATTACTCATAAGTTTAATAATGGGTTAATTCACTCCAACATCAAAACTAACAGCATACTATAGAAACTAGTGAACCAAAATTTGCTATGTAGAACATGCGTAAGACATRCAAGTGTGACGTCCTCTTAATTGTTGCCTTAGATAATGAATTGATAATCAGATCGATTATTTTATTATTTAAATTGTTAATTTTCTGTATATGATTTGCCACTCTATTACACGTATTATAATAACAATGTAATTATAAATAAAGAATTATATTATATTATAAATAAAAATACAGTAATATAAAATTTACGTTGTCGTCGTGATGAGAGGAAAGTGAATCGATAAGTAATTGGGGAACATATATTTTACAATATTTTTGTTGCGTATGCAAAATTGGTCTTAAGAGTACTTGAACACTTTTGGTAATTACTTATAAACAATCTCACCAATCTGCTTGTGAATTACTTGTTACCATCTACACAATATTTCTGATCATTCAAGTCTTATGCGACTATGTGTTCAGCCATTTGCCTTGTAGAGCTGGCCTATGGATTAACAAAAATTAGCATGCTATTTCAATGGTACAACTCAGTTTCCAGTTATTATACGTTAGTGACTTCTACGCTATTTTTTTTATTTAGTTTCGCACCACTACTGTCATGCTGAATTCATAACAATCAAATCATTCTGAAATTACATAATTATGAAATAACTAGTTATTAATTTAATTACTTATGTTTTATGCTTTCTTAGATCGAAGAATGGTATGCGAGAGCAAAAAGAATGGATGAATTAACTGAACAAGTGAATGAACTATTCCAAAGACTGACATTTAGTGCCAATAGAGAACTTGTTCATGACCTTTATCCTTATGTTTGGGATGTTAGATGTGTTATATCATTACTAAACTTCTATGTAAAATGGCTTTGTAAGTAATTTAATGTCTGGTAGCTTATAATATTTTGATTTATTTATATTTATTCAATTCTAGCTGAAGGCCATTTCCCACAATCTATTACAAATTATACTCTTGGATCTTATACATGTAAGTATATTTAAATACATATTAGCTCGAAGTAGTCTTTTTTTCTTTATTAGTAATTTGTTTTATCTTTAATAGAACTCAATATTGGTCAAATAAAACCAACAACTAGTGTTTTCACTGTAAGTTGTATTAGTTAATCCTTTTTGTTATTGTTAATATTCTGAACCAAGATTGTCTAAAAATATTTAACTTTTAACTATATGATTGCTTACATTTTTTTTTTTTTTTGCCTCAATTGTATTCTTCTTGGAAAGTACATTTTTTATTGTTGCTTGTTGAAATTTTAGATAATTTTAACTGTTAAATAGTTGTTGGCTTGTATTGATCCAGATTGGGCTTTCTGTATTGTATTTGTCATATTTTTAGCAATCTATTTTAATGGGATGATTAAATCATATTACCTAATAATTTTTTTATGTATAAATAAAATTTATTCAATGTTTACAAATTGTTTTATATKTTTCGATTTGATTCTGTTTCACCAGTGATAATATTAAAAATATTTAAATTTTAGGGTTTTCAAAAGGATGGAAAGAAAGCTTTATGAGTGGCGATCAAGAACCCTGGGTTTTTAGAGGTGGTTTAGTTGCCGATTTACAAGTAAGTTGAACATTATTTGTTGTTTGTTGGTATTTTATGTATAACTTAGGTAAATTATGTTAAACAATGTATTTAAATATTAAAATATTTGTGTAAATTTAAATACATTGATTGAATTTGATCATAAAACAAACAGTTTAAAAATATGTTAATTTAAGTTGCTTTAGAGTAGTAGTGTGAAGGTAACTAAAACATGACATGTCAGAAACCTACGGTTGCCCAATTAGAAATTCTGCCATGAGGGCAACCAAGCTTTTAGGCTTTTGGGCCTACTGCCTAAAATAACACGCCATACGCAAAAAAAAAAATTGAAACTTAAAACTAATATTAATTTTTCAACATTTAATGCTCGATTGCCCATAAAATTAATATTTTAAGATAATATAATGAAACTTGTAACTTTCATCATATAAATTGTATATATTATGTGTTAGTTAGAGTAAAATTATATCATGTATTATTTTATTWGGTATTATTAATCAATAACAACAAAAAAATCTTTATTTTATTTATTTTTATATTTTCAGCGACTAATGCCAGTTGATGCTGGTTCTGATTTATTTATATATAAACCTCCCGATATACCCACAAATAAAATGTACAATGTACGACCATATACTTTTGAAGATGAGTCTGCTGTATACAATATTTGCCGGTGTACTTGTTATACAAGTGTTGATGACCATAGTATAAACAAATCTGATTTGCCTGACTTGATACCTGACAGGTAATGTTTTGTTTAGTTTAAAAAAATTAATTTTTATCAAAATAATAAATTTTTTTTTTTAGACTGGTTGGTTCGTATTTGACACTTAGTCCAGAACTTTGTTTTGTCGTAGAAGACAATGGCACCGTCATAGGTTATGCATTAGCGGCTTTAAATGCAAAAGAATTTTATCAAAAGTTACAAGTATCGTGGTTTCCTGAAATGTGTTCTAAATATCCATTGTCGAATAATTCCAGTGAAGAAATACAGTCAGCTTCGCAAGTGAGTTCCCATTTTAAATGTTTGTATACTAAATATGAAGTTTAATCCTTAAGATGATGGATGGAACTAAATTGTTGAATAATTTAGGCGCTTAAGTATTTCATTGTAATTCATTTATTTTTAAAGTATAATACATTTTTAATGATTTATTTTATAGTTGTTAAACATTATTAATGTTCTTTGTAGAAAGTCTATTGCAAAAAGGCTTTAAAATTAAAAAACAAAAAGACCTTTTTGATTAAAAGAATTTTTGTTCAATTGATAATTTCCATTTAATGTCCAACAATGTCTTATACCGTTTTTGTCTATACTATTTTGTCCTATAAAGTTTAGGCCAGACTCCAGAATATGATTGTCTAATATATTTTATGTCCAATTTTTGAAAATTAAATAAAAAATATATTAAAATGAATTTAACGAAATCAGTATATAACTTATTAGCATTAGCTTACCATTTAAAACTGCATAGTAGTCCAAATACTGATACCAAATTTACAAAAAATTTGCGATTTGTATTTATTTAGTTTTTTTTAAGACATTTACTAATAATGAATGGAAAATAAATACATAAGAAATTAATAAATAATGAACAAAAATGTATATAACCATTTTATTTTTGCACTTAATAATGATAAGACCTCTTTCACAGAAAAAATTATGTTTTTATAACCAAATATTTACTATATAAACCAACAATTGGAATAAAACTTAATTATTCAATAATAATATTCAAGTTTATGTGATAATTCCACTATCAGTTATATTTCTACATACATTTTATTTTTATTAATAATTTTAATATTAAACTTCATAACTTCATACCCCTATAAAATGTTTAAGGTTTGATATATACTTATATATTAAAAAGAACTTATCCRGATACTAATCTAGAATAAAATAATTCCTAATGCTCAATTTGGCTTTAGAAACAGCACCCCTCTCCACCAACTACATAGGCTAGTCGACATTATTGCCTCATTCCTTAAACAAAAAAATTTGTTCTGGGGTTTTTCTCAATGTTGCTCAGGTTGATCGGGTGTGGCATGAAGAGCTAGTGTTCAAATTATTATTTTTACCCACCCCGTTATTCCTCTCTTACTCAAATATTTCCTATCGAACCGTGCTCACCAGTAAGACGTGAAGACRAAACTTCTGACCCACGTCTTATTAAAGCAGGCGTCCTTCAAGGCAGTATTCTTTCCCTGACTCGCTATAATATAATATGCAGCAGAACTCCACAATCTATTAACGCTACTCTAGCTACCTTCGTTGATGATACAGTCAAAATCTCAATCAACTCCGAAATAACCACCACTACAAATAACCTCCAAGACCATATAACCCAACTACAAGATTGGTTCAGCTCAGTGGCGTGGCGAACTTCATTAAGTTATGAGGCACAGTTATATTGTCAAACCAACCACCCACTCCACCCATCACAAAAAACATMAAAAAACATTAAAACATTTTTTTAAGATAAAATATATTTATTCATTTAAATAATAATGCTTTTTTTAACACATTAGATGATCTTTGAGGACACCCACCACCCCTCAAACTGAGGCACGTGCCTCAAATATAGTCCTTTGTCACGCCACTGGTTCAGCTTACGGAAAATTAAAATTAACSAAAACAAATCCACTCACCTCACCTTGACCCTCAGGTCTACAACAATTTCCCCTGTTTACATAATTAACCAAATAATTCCAATGGAACATTTCGTTAAATACTTAGGCCTTCTTCTTGACAAAAGATAACTTGGGCTAATCACATCAAAGCTAAAAGAACTTTGCTTAACCTCAGGTTTCACAAACTAAGACCACTTCCAAAACCTCTCTTACTATTAAAATACTAATATACAAATAAAGTTAACATCCGGCAATGACATATGGAATTCAACTGTGGGGTACCTTTAAAAACTCAAACTTAATCAAATTTCAAGCGTTCTAATCAATAGCTCTCCGTATCTTCTCTAATGCTCCCTGGTACGTCAGCAACCTCACCCTACATCAAGACCTCAACATACCTTCAATATTTTCACTTGCCTCAAATCATTATAACAAATTATACTCCCAAACATAGCGTCATATGAAAAAAAATTATAATATGAATACATAGATTGTAAATTTTTTTTATAATAGAAAAAAAATTTGATATATTTATATTTTTTATATGTTAACTATTTTTGTTTTTCATAGGAAATCATAAATTGGTTTCATTCATTTGATATAAATCAAGAATTACCAGATTCCAATGCTCTGTCTCAACATCAATCAGTAATGACCTATGCAACATTACCTGTAAATAATGATGCTTCAGTATCCAAACGATTAATTATTTGTCTTCTTGCTGCATTAAGAGCTAACGGTATTAATATAACAATTAATAATTGCTTTATTATTACATTTGGTTTATTTTATTGTAATATTTTATACTATGTTAATAACTCTATAGGGTCATTCGGTGTCCATGTACCTTTGAGAACAAAAGATCAACATACATTGGAATTTTACACTAAAATGGGATTTATGGAGATTTCACAGGGGTCTAATCTAAATCCTGGTTATACATACGTAGGACGTGTTTTTTGAAATATTCTACTGTTTTACATTGTCTGCCAATAAATGTTAAATATATGAATAAAAATGCAAACATGGTAATTACTGCCAATCATTATAGAAATAATTTTAATTTATTTGTATTAAATACATTATTATACTTGTTATTAGTAATGTCAGTACTTATTTCAGCTTGTACACAAAATAGTCCAGWTTAAGTTACCTAAGTTCTTTAAAGGAAATTTAAATTTTGCGAGCTATAATATATTTAATTTTTCAAATTGGTTTGTAAGTGTTAACATTACATAATTGATAATTTTATAGATAGTTTGTAATTTTTCTCATTATTTAATATTTTAATTATTTTAAGGCCTTATTACATTTTGTATGTTGTTTTGTATGAAAATAAAATAAATTCTTTTGTAAGTGACTACAATTTTAAAGTATTTTGTTATCTATTTTTCTGACTACATTTTAACAATCATATATTTGTTTTATTGTTTATTTTCTTGTAAGCATACTCCATTATGATATTTATTCATATTAAGTGTATTATACTATATAGTATATATTTTTATTTATGCTATTTTAAATTAATTCCTATTTTGCTTCTTATTCAAAACTTATTTCCTTTTCATCCTTAATATATTTGCTGATGTCATTCGTTTTTATTTGGTCATTACTATTGACCTGTTTATTATGACAAGTATTGCGTGCCAACCTTACCAATTTAAAATATATACAAAGGTATTAATTTTCTTTGTCAAAAGAGTGAAAGTTGAGGTTAGTTAAATCTTTATAAAAGTGCATAATTTTTATGTCCATGTTATAGTTGCATCTCCGTTATTGTTTGTTAACTAGTATAGTAACACAGGGCTTGAACTTGTACCAAAGAAGATTAGTAGTGACTATTAAGTATGTCATCTTCAACTGTTTATCAATCCTTCCGTAAAATCAATATAATCTCTCGTATATTTGGTGTTATGCCACTAAAAATGGTACCAGGGAACCAGATAAGTGGTCCTATTTGTTTAATGTCTACATTTGATTATGTGTATTCAGTTGTTTTACTTATTGTATCTGTCGTGCATGGAATATTGGCGCCGTTTTATGTGTTACATACAATCATGCCTTACGCATATCAACACTCGATGTTTACAGTGGCATTAAATGTACAACAACCCATCAATGCAATAGAATCAGTAATCGATGAAGAAGAAATCAGCGAAATGGCTACTGTCATGAAAATTCTTAATCCAATTATGATATCCTTGTCTAGTATTTGTAGCAGATTGGTCGCACTCACATTTCTCCACCGCAGGTTTAGTGAATTTATTACTGTTTTGCACAACACGGATAGACTTATGGATGTCACCATCAAGACACATGTTTCCACTGCCAGCAAGACATTCCTACAAACTATTGACACGTATCTGTTATGATATTTTGCCCTGATTGGTGTTCCAGTGAATATTTTTTATATATTTACCGTGTCAGCCGTAAACAGCAAGGCTGGTATTATATGGTGTATCATACTTGCATTTAATAATATGGCCTGTCTTAGCACAGATATGCAGTTTATTCGTTGTGCCTGCATGCTACACTACCGTTTTAGAGTCATTAACAACCAGCTCGAGACATTTGCATCCATATGGAATTTCAAACGTGGGTTAGTGTTCATACCTATAATAAAGCAATAATTAATATATTTTATATTTTTTAATTTGGTTTAAATGCATTTTAGTTCCCTCGGRATTTCTCCAAAATGTGTGTTTTAAAGCACTCAATACAAAAGTCTAATTCAAAAGTTCTTACAAATCATTATTTTGGAAGTTATATCTTTTCAAAGTTTACGATTTTACGTATTTCCGCATGTATGAGTGAAACACTGTATAGGTACTTTGCTTTGCGTTGGTCACTTCGCGTAATGACAKTTTAATGGTGTATTATAATCTAATTTCCATAACAATAATATAATATTATTTTAAATTAAATGATTATTAAGTACCGCCCATCCCTCAGAGGTTGGTTATTTTAGGGGGTTTGGGTGACCGGAGCCAGTAGGCGAAGGGATCAACTGTTTTTCATACTCTAAGTTACTTTCTTTACAAAATTTCAAAAACTATCGTTAATAATATTTTAATTAGATAAAATAACATTATTAATAAGAGACGACAATCCAATACGAAAACCCAGGAAAGCAAAGTATACAGCGTTTCGCGCATGCATGCGTAAATACGTATAATCGTAAACTTTAAAAATAATATATAACCAGTGGCGTGGCGAACATCTTTCAAACCCTAAGCAAATTATTTATACATAAAGGTATAATTTTCTGTATACAAATTTTGAATGTTTGTTCTACGGCTAAGAAATTGCATTAGGTAAACGTCGTTCACCACGCCACTGTATATAACTATATTAACTTCTAAAATAATGATTTGCGAGAATTTTTTAATTAGACTTTTGTATTCAGAGCTCTAAAACACATTTTGGGAAAAAAAATCGCGTGGGAACTAAACTGCATTTGTTCCTTCAATTTTATTGTTTTGATTAAGTATCATCGACAAGGGATTATTTCTTATGAATTTGTGTGCTGTAAGTTTGTACCTTGTAAAAAGAAGTACCTTCCATTCGCCTTTAAAATTATAGGTAAACCATTGGTAGATTATCGCCTCTCGATAAATATTAATTAAGAAAATACCTAACTTTTATTCGTGTTTTGTATTCATCAAAATTCCCAGGAAAAGTGTGGTTATTCAACTAGGTAGGTATATCTGATAATTTATTATATCATAAAATGACAGTAACAGTAGGCCCGAAAAAGTGAATAGTAACTTAGTAACTATTCAAGACTTGCTAGGTATTGAATTGACTGTGCAATTATGCTTCGTAATAATTAAGAACAGTTAAAAATAAAATTTTTATTACAGTGCTTTGGTAGAAAGAAAATCTTGCCAATCGTTTTTGAGTGAACTATCATATGGCCACAACATATGCGATTCTATCGAAATGTATAGGTAAGTCGTTAGTACATTGTAGTATTGTACTTAGTAAATATATGCCTAATAAGTAATAACCAATAAATAGTACTCAATAGGCACCTACGACCTACCTACCCTTCTATTTTGGTATGTTTGTAAAATGTTAACTCTAATACTTACCCACAGTACACCTATAGGTGGTGCAGTCCCTAAAATTGTGTGTAGTWCGAAAGATTCAATTTGTAGTACGAAATTTGAAAGTGTGTTATTCACATTAAACCTGTATAATAATATTATATACAATTTTAAAATAATACAGGATATCAGAAAGTTCTTCGACCACAAAGAATAAAAAAAAAACTATAATTTACATACTTAATATATAGGTAATTTAAATTTATTTTTATTTATTTACTGATATTTTGTATTATTATTTTCATGCATTTTGTACGCTTAAAATGAGTTGTATATAAAAAAAAAACAATTTTTTTTCAATAAAAATTCTATTTCACAAATTTTTCCAAGAACCTTTAAATTTGTTAAATAGAGATTCTACTTTATTTAAATAAAATTATTTATTGTAAATACATATTATTATTAATTAAAAGGTACTATGTATAATTTAGATTTGACTGATTTGGAACTATGTGTGTAGTGCGAAAATTTGCATATTTTAGGGACTGAGGTGGTGCTTACAAGTTTACCTGTCTTTAGATATAGTGTTACAGACAGTGACGTAGTTGTAGCTATCCTAAGGTAAAGTGAGGCAGTGCTCAGGGRCCCARGAGCTTAGGGGGCCTTGTCATCTTTAGGGCCTATCTTAATTTCCCCAAACATTTTATACCTATACTATTCAAGTAATTAAACTATTGTGAATAATTCCGTCCRTGTATTTCATCACGATACCGGTTTATGATTGTCACTTTTATTACACATTAAAATTTAATTACAATTCATTGTAGAATGTGCGCAGAGCCGCAGAGTACACGTTAAAATTTTAAAAAATTAAGTATTTTGAATTAGTATTAAGTGTGTATGATATTTTATTGTGTTATGTATTTATTAATTGTCTCATTGTTTTTATTCATGGCTATAAATAGCAATATGTATAATATTTTAAATATCGATTAAAATTATATTGGTCTAAATTAATTACTGCCCCGCGGAACTTTCCCATCTAGCACTGGTTACAGACATAGTGGCCGTTCACAACTATATGGTAATAATAAGCTCAATAAATTCCGGATTAAGGTTACGTACCTAAATTACTTATATTATGTTGTCAACTTAACATTTTAGTAAATGTTAATTATTTGAACTTTATACCTAGTGAAAAAGATAACATTTTAAAAATCTAAAGGGGAAAAAATATAAAAAGTTTGTTCCAGTCAGGACAACTTTAGAAACTATTGACGTGTGAGTCGGCAGAGGGGCACCAAAATCAACTTGGGGGAGGCGYGGTTACYAGTTTAGATGATTAAAAAAAGTGTATAGGGCGCCGAAATAATGCTTGCGCTGGGCGCTGAAAAACCTAGAGCAAGTTAGGTCGTAACTTGTCTGATTGTGCCTTGTGGTATTATCTGGTACTTAACTATCTATTTACTGTGTAGATTCCTGCCGTATTTTCAACTACATAATATTATCTGTTTTCAGGAAACTAATTATACCTACTGGCTATACTACCTACCTATGTTTCCCCGCGGAAAGCGGAAGATGACTAGTATCTACTCTACGACAGCTTATAATAATAAATAAAAATTATATAGTTGTTTTAATATTGAATACTTTTATCATTGATAATATAATATTATAATTTTTTGGCCATTTAGTTAAAAATAATTAAACTAGTTTGACGCATATTAGTGTACGAGTATAGGTATTATTTAAATATCATATAAATAACGAATATATATGTATAGATCCGAATTGTCCGATAGTGTTATGGTAATGTCCTAAACAAAAATATACCTCAAATGGAGCAGAGAAGGATAAAGAATAATTAAAAAAATTAATAATTTTGTTTTAATTTCAAAAATCACCAACGGGATACTTGTGTAAATTCGTGTCGTAGGAGATAGAACTTCATTGCTCCGTTATTTAGCTAGGTATTAACTACATATCATTTAACATTTTGTATAACCGACTATAAAGTAACAGTTTTAAAATTGCTAGGTATATTAGCTTCACCAAACTGCACTAATTACATTAGCAAAGTATTACTTATTTTTATCTGGATTCTTGATTTTGATTCTTACAGAAATCGATTGACCACCAAATAAAATATTTCTTTTTTTTTAGATACTGTTATGGACAATTTTGCAACATGGTGTGCCAATTAAACTCTACGTATCAGTTACATCTTTTGGGATGCATTTCAGCATGTTTTTTAAAAATATTATTCAATCTGTATTTTTCTATGTTTGGATACGTTATTGGTACTAATGGTCAGAGAGAACAAGACGAACTAATACGAGCTATCTTTTGGAATGTATTTTATGGAATGAGATTCTTAACCATAATTTATGTGGCTTATGCTACGAGCAAACAAGTGAGTCCGAGTATTTAGTCAGACATTTAGTAGGTWAYRYRTWACTCAGTACAAATTGTTATCTCTCGTGACCATATCGCTGTTGCTGCCAAAGGAACTTCGTTATACTGTTCAACATGTACTACGAACACCCCGACGGGCCCCTATTGGTAATGCATTTTTTCTGGTTACAAAATTTCAGAATGTACCTACTTGATAAAAACAATTTCACCAATCTGCAGTGTTTCGTGGTCTACATTATTACAATAACGACGATTTGAATAGGATAAAAACCAAAGATAATATCRATCTCGTCAGATTTCCGTTTCTCGGGAAACCTACACGTTCAATATTTATGTGATTCGTGTGTCAAATTATGAAGGAAAAAAAACATAAATTTAACTAAATTATAAACGCAGTACGATGAAAATTAATTTGATTAATTCTTATTAAATAACGTTATTGTGCTACAACTACCTAGTGGGTTAGATTATAATATTAGTAAAATTACCATACAAAAAATGCTTCAATTCGTTGGGAAGCAAGGCTATGGAAATATTTGGAGCTTGACTAAATCCTTCTTAAGCTCTCCCTAGTTGCGCCTATGTACTTACATCAATATTGAAACTCTTGCCTATTTATTTTGTTAGTCAATCACCATTACCTACGCATAATTTATGAATGAATTATTTTATTCTAGGCGGTGAATGCAAAAACATTAATAACTGATATAAACAATAGGTATTTGGATACTAGTACACAAGAAGAGGTGAATATCCTTATAATAACATTAATATATAATATATTTTATTTTCGTTGTTAATTTGTATTAATGATAGCTTCAACTATTCTACAATCAAATATCTAGTCGTTCTATTGAATTCACTGCTTGTGATTTATTCACTTTGAATACCCGTTTAATCACTTCAGTAAGTATACTTAATTTTAATTTATAATTAAAACGAGTAATATATGTTTTTAAATGATTTGTTTGTTTTTTATGTAGGCTATAGCTGCTGGTGCCACATATCTAGTTATTTTAGTGCAATTTCACTCTGGAAAAAATTAAATTTATCAACATATTACATACCCACTCAATTAAGTGTTTGAAATGTTTCAATATACGCATTTAATTTATGCAAACGAGCACGATTTTATTAAAAATATAGATTATAATTTTTGGGCAATATATATTTATTACTATAACTTAGAATATTATTTTATTAGAATTTAGAATTAACCTTWAGGTATTTGATTCTACGGATATTTATAAAAATTACTTTAGAATTATAAGTACTTGTATAAAATGGTGCAAGCTACAATACTACTGAACGATCGTTCTACAGACTAGTATGCTGTTTCATCTTTCATGATTAAACTTAA